CAAATCGTACGAATTTGTACGAATTAGCCACTTTTTAATCATTCATCGAATTCGTACGAATTGGTCATGAGATAGTGTTGGACAGACTATGGTAGCTAGCTAAGTAGCGTCAGATTAGCACTGGATAAATCAATGGATAAAAATATAAACGTCAGCAGCAAGCGGTGAAGTTTGGACGAAAGAGAAAGTCTGTAGAGGAAAGAGGAGAGATTTAAAAAAAAACGTAATGCCGGACTCTAAGTAGGATAAATATAGGGTCCACCATTGAGCGTTGGAGGAAGCTTCAGGTGGATCTGGGACTGAAACCGACGCTGACACGGCTGACTTTTCGTTGAGCAGGTAAACATTTATTTATACTTTTATGGTAAGACGTGTCACATAAATAGCTTTTTATCAGTTTGACAACTTGCTCATGATGATGGAATGTTAGCCGTTTAGCATCGCCTATCACGGGTCAAATACTTGCATATATTTCAGTATGCCTAGCGGGTTTCTGTTCGAGCCGGTCGGAATTTGAACAAGATGTGCCGTGTGCTGCTATAACAATTACTAAAAACATTAGCAATGCTAGTAGTATTATACTAATGGTGGTGGGGAGTTTTCTTGTGTTGCTAATCTTGCGTTGACGTGAACTCAAAAGTGACATCACTTGACAGGGATTGGGTAGCACAGAGGGGAGGGGTGTGTGTGTGTGTGTGGAGGGGCGGGATGAGTTTTTTAAAACTTCCCTACCGGCTTTCTCGACCGATTTTTAACATCGTATACTATAGACCCCTTTTGCGCCGCCGTCACAGTTACGTCACGGCGCTAGCTGGAGGCAAAACAAAGTGAAAACTGGAGGCGGCCAATACAAACCAGCACAGATTCGGCTACATAATAAGGAGCTTAAATAATTGTTACTATTAATAAATGTCATCTTGTTGTGTTGTTTGGTGCAAGAATTGATGAAAAATGAATATGCTGTATCTGGAACTTTTATTTCTAGAAAATATTCACATCATTAAAATCTCACTGTAATGTCACTCTTTACATTGTCGTGGTCTCGGCGCTGACTCGGCAGAACTGCGGATCGTACACACAAGTCTTGTACAGGACCATATAGGCATCTAAAGATTTATATGCCCTCAGTTTCTCTTTATGATCGGTTTCTCTATAAGGTAGGTGTAGAAGTCAGGCCACTCAACCGAGATAACGTAACTATTACGTTAATCCTGTCAGATCGTCCATGCATTGAGTGAGAATGTAGGCGGCTACGGGTCGGCCAATCTGGTTCTGTCCGTTAAAAATAACTTTTGGAAATAACAATCGCGGTCCTGGACACTGAGTGACCTTACACATTAAGACAATATCGGATTTTCTCCAGTCATTGTTAAAAAACAAGCTAACAATCCTTGCTAACTACCGTTAGTGAAGCGGCCAGATGGATCGTTCTGCCTCCACCTAAGCTCCGCCCACAAAAAAACGTCACCATGTTTACCAACTGAAAAAGGGTCTATAGCTTTAAGTAGCAGCGCCAAATGCGATTGCAATTGATGTCCAGGACTTTTCCTATAAATCGCCTCAGGCATGACATCTGGGCCAAAACAAACAAAAAAGGACTAAATCTCATCGTGCGTTGAAGAATTTCAATGTTATCAGAGTCACGACAGTGTTTGCTTTACAAATGAACACCTTTTGCATCTGAAATGGGCCTAGAGACTAATACTCATCCACATTTGCATAAGTATCCTGTATGATGGGACATTTTGTCCAATTTCACTCTTCTTTAAGAGAGTTGACTGGAATGATATCATCCATTCAAAACGCTTTCATTTGTTTAGACATATTCTAGTACTTTTGTGCAATTAATTATGGAAAAAAACAACGTGTTGAAGTTATTGATGCTCTTACCCCACCCTGTCCCTTACATATCCCTCCGGATCAGCCTCAGTCAGTTGAGGGTCTGCCTCCGGCCCCTCAAATTACGTGCAGGTATTTTTAAAATATAAGTACAATGTAAAAACATGTATGTACACATTAAGTCCATTGTATCAAATCATTCATTTCAATGTAAGTATAAATCCACTTAATATAAAGTGGGACCAAATCTTCTCTCAAATGGACAACTAGCAAGAAGTTTGATCCAGAGTGCTAACCACTTGTAACTAACCAAACTGATAAAAATGATTTTGTGGTGAAGTAAATACTACAGAAAAAAACTATTTAATTTACATGAAAAAGGTTAGTTCAGGTAAGAATTAAAAAAATAAGTAAATTCTATAGTAGAACTCAATTAAATCGTGTAGAAATGAAAGCGTAAATATCAATAAAATTAAGTAAAATTACTCAACTTTTCTGATACTGGTGTTCCCATCATGCACTGGGCCATGAATAACTAATGAGGTTGATTTTTTACTGTTTTCCAGCTGTATTTACACTATTTTATCATTACTTTTGTTGTTAGGATTAGTAATTTGCCATTTTTGTGACTTTTTGAGTTCATTTTCTACTTAAAATGACACATTCAAACACAAAAACGATCCATCAAATGTTACCGTCATTGTGTATTGTCTACCAAGTATTGAGGTCTGGATTCACACATGCTATTTCAAAAGTGAAGACATGATGATTACTTAAACAGTGTGGTCTAATGCAATGTTATATTGTATGAGTGAAATGTTTTACTAAGAAAAATTAAATTAATTAGAATAGATATTACTTAATCTTTAATTAGCTAAACAAAAATTGCTCAATTTCTTATGTTATGTTCACTTAACTTAGTTAAGTATAGTTTACTTAATTATATGTGTGAAAGTTACTCAAAGAATATAAGTGCAAAAACTTGCCTTGAAAAAATTAAGTAAATTTTAATTATTGTTTTTTACAGTGCATATCAAAAATGAGCAACTAATTATGCTGTTGTATGAGTGACTAAAAATGTATGTCACACTAACAACTCCACGTAACACACAATTGATTCTCTGTTTTCTGATTTCAATGTTGATTGTGCCACTGCTGTTTTAATATGTAAATGCATCTCTTTTTCCAATAAGTTTTAAGCAAATGATTAATTTGCATTAGTTGATCTGTAACCTCAACTGCATGGGTTTGGCTTTTAGAAATAATATGGCCACTTATAAATCACATATGCACTAAATGTGCTTTTGTTGAGAACAGAGGTCAAAAGTATTCACATTCATTACTCAGGTAGAAGTTGAAGTATCAACTCAAACTTTTTATTCAAGTAAAAGTACTGGTTTCAAAACTACTTTAAGTATTAAATGCCATTATGGACAAAAGCTTAGACCACGCCACAGGGGCCTATAGTGCACGACCCTACCTCCTCAAAAAGCATTTTTATAAAGGCCATAATGACTATAATGTTATGTTAAAATATAAATATTGAAACATTTGGGATGCATTAGGCTGACTGTTTCAGCCACATATAGAAAATGAACGCATTTTAGTGCAATGCAAATACTAGTTGCCTAAAAGTAATTGTAATGGTGCACAGTGTTGCCAGATTGAGATGGTGATTTCCATCCCAGAAGCTCAGCAAAACCCGCCCACTCCAAGGAAAAAAAACGCCCAAATTTTTACTACCAAAATAATGTCATATAATTTTATTCCCATGTCATTCAAGATTGATAAGCACCCTTTTTATCTGCTTAAAACAAAATAACAAATTAAAAATGAAAATAAAAAATCCCAGGAAAATGAATTAAAACGGGGCAATAATTAAAGCTGCAGTCTGCAGTTTTTCCTCTTTGTCGCCATCTCTGTTCGAAATCTGCAATTGCAGTTATTCGATTAATTAACTTACGTGAGTGCTTGGCGCGGATGAATCCAATGTGTTGAGGAGAATGTGTGGGTGTCAGTGCATTCACAATCACAAATTATACTTTTGGGAAGTGTGACCAACAGTCCTGCTGCATTTGCGTGCTGCGTTTGTTATAGTCTCAAGTCAGCAATCATTGGAAGTTTCAATCAAACAACAATTTAAAGAAATATTAACATACAGTAATAATCATGCCACATTTTTTGAATGGGACTCGAATGTTAAAGGGAACGTCTCGGGTTATGACTATAACCCTCGGTGAGAGACGGTGCGTCCCTCGACCATACTGAGAACAACTTGCTTCGACCAATCAGAAGCTGCGATGTCACGAGTGACGTCAAGATGCAACACCAATCAAGATGGGACAAGTTCCACACAGGCTTCAGACGCGTCTCCCAATGTGTCGATTCTCGTTACCTGGGTTACAGTCGTAACTCGAGACGTTTTCTACCCAAATGCCTGTTGGGAATTTTTTGGCGTTTTTTTTTTTTTTTTTTTTTTGTGCGTGTGTAAACACTGGTTAAACTGTATTTTGCCAGTTTTAATCGGATTTAAGTTTATAGAAAAATATTAACCCATGTATGATTGTCCGTTTATAGTGGAAAAAAGCTTATTTAGATTATTAAAATGTTTTTCATACTAAGAAAAAACGGCTCCTTTAAGAACGGATTACTGAAAGGTTATTTGGTAAAGCAAAATGCATATGGTATCTCTGTGAAAAAAATAAAAAAAATAAAACTCACCTGTAACATAAATAATACTGCTGGTGTTATTTGTGCACTTTCAGCCCATCTTTTTTTTAGTGCAGCGATATAAGTTACATGATCAACTTTCAGTGGCGGGAGTGCCAGGATTAAGGTCCAGATGGCGTATTTGGAGCTTATTTGTTTGTGTAAACTTAATGGCATTTGTACACAGCAGAAAACACCCTGAACATCTGTGCTGAACACAATGATCATGATGATCACCAGTCATGATTTTTTGCCTTTCCAAGTCTCTTTTTGAAAAGTCTTTTTGTGATTAACTAAAATTTGTAACTATATTATCTGTGTTCAAAATTATGGAGATTGAAGAGAGGAGAAGAGAGGATGATCATGATGCAAATTTAAATGGGTTGTCCTCCATAAAACATAAAACGAACACTCTCCATCCCTAAAAGAAAGACCAACGCCTTTAATCAACCATGAAGAAGCTCTTCAAGTGCCTGTGGATCTTACTGGGTAAAGTACAACATTCATGATCTGCTATTTTGCTAGGATGTGGATTTGTAGTTTACTTTACACTCATTTGTATTTACTGTGGATTTATAGCATATTGTAAAGTATTGACATTTTTCCAAACAAATATTCTAGATCAGTTGTTGTTTCATCCTATTGAATCTTTTAAACCCACATTTACATTACCCAATTCATCATTTCTCAGCGTTTACATTTTACTGGTTGGCGTCTGTAAGATTTTTCATGTTTTTGAAATTAAGTATCTTCTGCTCACCAAGGCTGCATTTATTTGATCAAAAGTAGTGTAAAGAGTAATAGTATTACACATGTGAATATACTGTATAGTAAACTGTAAAATATTCCCATGTTCAAAGCTGAATTTTCAGCATCATTACTCCAGTCGTCAGTGTCACATGATCCTTCAGAATCACTCTAATATGATGACTGCTCAAGAAACATATATGATTATTATATGCAATGCTGAAAACAGTTGTGATTCTTCAGATTTTTGTGGATATAGTCATACAAATTTTTTTCAGAATTAATTGAATAGAAAGTTCAAAAGAACTGCATTTATTTGAAATAGAATCTGGTGTAACATTACAGATCTATTCACTGTCACTTTCGATCAATTTAACGAATTCTTGCTAAAATATGAAGTTCTTCATTTGAAATTCAAATCAGATTCCAAACTTTTGAAGCGTTGCTTGTCACTTGTTCTCTAGAATGGTATTTCTCAGTTTATTTTTAGATACTAACCAAATCCAAGTCGATACGAGTCTGATACGAGTCCTCATACACACATATGGAAAAACAAACACAACACACATCACACATCATTCAAACTTAAGACAGTAAAAATTTAAATTTAAATTAAAAATAGATATAAATAAAGTAGAAATAAAATTTCAGAATGTGATTCAACAAATCCTGGTTCTCTGACACTCACTTGAATATTGATTCCACAGGATTTGTATTGGTTGTGGAAAGAGCAAATGGACAAGAAGGTAAGAACCATTCTTTTCTTAACCTTTGGTTGTTGTTTTCTTCTGTTTGACAAAAATGTTTGAAAACTTTTCCAGAGAATGCAGCACTTTGGGGCAAAACTACTCAGTCCTCAAGTTATGGAATCGGTTACCCTGAACTTGCGCTTGATGGTTTGGTCGGCACCTGGTCTCACACTAACACAGAGACCGACCCGTGGTGGAGAGTGGATCTACTGAAGGTATACTGCGTGAACAGAGTGACCATCACTAACAGAAACAGCCATGCTTTGAGGATAAACGGAGCTGTGATTCGCGTCGGGAACTTCCCTGACATTTACAGCAACACCATGTGAGTCTTCCTTTGACTGTGTTGATGAATGTGGCAGTAGATGAACAGAAACTGATAACAGATTATCTCTCTGTAGATGTGCTGTAATTTCCAGTCTTGCGGTTAGCGCTACGGCCACTTTCTCATGCGGCGGGATGGTGGGACGTTACATGGTTGTTCATATTCCTGGAAATGACAAGATTCTTAGTCTTGCTGAGGTTGGAGTCTATGGGGATTTGGCAGGTAATTCATTGTTGTATAGCACTCGATACTGAAAGTAGTAAATCATTTTTATTCCACAGCTCTCTGAAATTATTGAACCTGATTGGTCTGTGAAGGCGCTGTTTGAGATAACGGCGTTTAAAAGAATGGTGTTAGTGTAACCCCTAAGAGTCAGGCGCTCTAACAAGGAGGCTAAAGACTGCAGCGTCTAGAGTCTGTCGCTAGCGCGCCTATTGAGATCAGGGGAGTGAGGTTTACTCGCACAGCAACTACTAGCTGGCCTCCGTTACACTCACCCCCCTAAACCTCACTCTCATCCGGGTCACGGCACCAATTTAACCCCTACACCCGGGTCCAACTCGACCTGCTCCGAGCGAGCCTCGAACCCGGGTCTCCGGCGTGAGAGTCAGGCGCTCTAACAAGGAGGCTAAAGACTGCAGCGTCTAGAGTCTGTCGACTACTAGCTGGCCTCCGTTACATTAGATAATGACATAATTTTTCAGTAACGGGGTAATTTTACACTGTGTTCCCCTAACGTAAAATATTATGCAATACGAGAGAGTCGAACCACGAACGACGTGCTAAGTTTGAACGGTGTTCGTGGTTTGACTTGTCGAGACTGTTTTCCAAAAATGGCGCCGCCTGTCTACACAAAGTGAACTGTCTTTATAAAGTATCTTCTTATTAAACGGTCTGTACACTTACAAAGTTCTCAATGGTTCTTTTTGCATGCAGGGACCCTCATTATGTTACTATGTTAGTGTGGGGCCATTTTGAGCCTAGCGATTTCTTTTGGCTTACTATATGCCGTATACACGAGCATTATAAGCTAAAAAGTTTTTCGAGATAAAACTCTTTGCATTCGATTACCATGAAAACAAATCTCAGAGAACGGTTGACTAGGTACCGATGTTTTATTAGACCAAAGGTTCATTTTGCGCCGGAGTTCTCCTTTAAGCCTCGGCCTCGTTTTTGGTTCCTTCAAGAGTTCCTTGGTTCGTTTGTGTTGACGTCTATGGCCCTCCTTTCGAAAACCACACTCCTGTGTGTCCCTTGTAGGTGTTTGAATTCACTAGTATTACTATTTCCCTCCCTGGTTAACGGGGTGGCCTGGTCGTGCATATCTAGAGGTCGTTTTCTCCTCTTAAGGTCCCGCTACATCTGTTTCCCTTCTCCGCCATTTTTATTTTTAGTGAAAAACTCTAAAATAAGGGGTACCACTGAATATTTTCTTTAAATTGTCCGTCTTCTTTGGACTCGGCCCAGCCTTGCCAAAATTTTGAGGTGAAAATGGGAGTAGGACACTTTAATGTTAATAAAATTCCCAGTTATTCATTTTATGTCTCAGAATGTGTAATTCTTGATTGTAATTTCACGAAGCTGAGAAATGCAAATCTGAGACGATAGAGAAAGGGAGGGGTAGCCAAATCCATAGCCGGATTCGAAGACTTTCGAAGTGCTTTCGTTGGTAAAAGAATTAGCTAATCACCATCGAGTGAGTGTTCAGAAAAGTAACACTGCTGAGATGTAAATCACGTGATATTAGTTTGAACCGCTTCTGCTGATGTAGCTATGGAGAGTCGAGATACTGAATATCAGATCGCAAACAAATTTACTAAACTACTATTCAAACACTAGCTACAAATTAAAAATGAATTTCCCATGCCTAAGTTGGATTTAGGCTATAGAACAATCAGCTTCACTGAACGGCTCTTTTAACACGGACATTTAAAAGGACGGAAGGAAGGATGGAAGTGATAGGCTAGGACTAGGTGAGTCAACTTATTTTATTTTCTTGATGTATGTGTCGTTTTCTATACATATTCCATCTATTAGTGATAAAAAAGCCACTTTAAACCAGTTAAAAAACACGACCGCTAAAATTTGGTCTGCCTCTTACCCACCACCCGCCTCTGCTCAAAGCTTCTTGCCAGGAACTGTTTTTCTTTGTGGAAGCTTTGCGTTTAATGAGTGATATAAAGATACATATCACGTATATTTGCAGCAGAGATAGAAGTTTTGATAAGCTCGGTAGAAAGGGAAAGTTTTTTCTTTTCACCATTGTAGCTCACTCAAAGACAGAGAGTGGGCAAAAGTTGAAGTCAAAAATAAAGATGAGTAAATTTTCTAGGAAATCGGGCAGTAAGAGGAGCCGCTACACAGTCGTCAACATTTGGGGACTGGTTTGCTGGAAAGGCCATTGACAGTAATCGAGGTCTTCAGCAGTTGAATACCGGATGCTCCTCAACCCTTAGTCAGACTAACCCGTGGTGGAGGCTGGATCTGCATGATGTGTACCGAGTTAGTAATGTGGTCGTCACTAACAGACAAGACTGCTGTGCAGAACAAATAAACGGAGCGGAGATTCGCATCGGGAACTCTTTGGAGAACAACGGCAGCAACAATCCCATGTGAGACTCTTGAGGTTGAAAGTACATGAGAGCTTGAGCACAAATGAGAAGGATTAATGTGAATGTGAAGATTATATTATCTTTATCTCCATCTGTTTCTCTCTCTGTCTGTAGATGTGCTGTTATTCCTGATATTCCAGCAGGCGAGTCCTACAACTACTCATGTGATGGGATGGTCGGACGTCATGTGATTGTTCATATTCCTGGAGATCAGAAGATTCTTACATTTTGTGAGGTTGAAATCTACGGGTATTTGTCAGGTAATTCATGGTTGTTGTACAGCATTCTATTGAACAAGAGGAAAAACGAATTTTGTTGATAGGCCTTACGGTTAAAAAGTTATTTGCATAATAAAAGTGAAACTTTGGACAGGTGATGGCACTAGAGGGGATGAGTTAGAGACACCGAAATTGGTGTATTTAATGTTGGGACTGTCCTCTATCAGAATGTCAAACCAAAACAACTTTCCCGCAAACCGGTCTACGCCCAGTCGGAAGAAGAAGAAGAATAATAAGAAGAACTGGAACAGATACAATAGGTGCCTCGCACCTTCGGTGCTTGGCCCCTAATAAATTATACCACATCAAGGGCGTAGATTTGGTTTGAAGTGTAAAGCTTTTTAGCAGAATCCTAGTCTATTCTCCCTTGAGATTTTATTGTTTTGCTAAACGTTTATAAGTGGAAGCGTACACAGATAGAAACATTGTGTCGGCCCACATCTGGCACATGTGGAATGATGATCTGGCCCACATACCGCGTGGGATGATGGAACTTGAGTGGACCACTCCTGTTTGCCAGATCTGGGCCACAACCCAGCAAACACATCTACGTTGTGGCAACGTCGGTGGCACAACCATTTCTACAATGGCAATGTCGCGGTCTACGCGCTCGCAATATTGAAACAACGAAGAATTGTAAGACGCGACAGGGTGTTAGCAATGTTATTGCCCGATGTTCATCAACTGAGAGACGACATCCTGACATTTTATTTAATTTTTAATTAGTCAGATGTTAGATATTTATATAGGCCTACTTTTTAGATATTGTTTATTCTTATTATTATTTAATGGGGCTATCAGTAAATTAACCTAATTATAATCAACACCTGCAAGTGTACACTTTGTGGTAGCTTGGAATTCAAAGGGGAATCGGATATGCATGTTTAGACGGAGGTCGGATGTCCAGATATCGTATATCTATATGATTTAAAACCACAGATCAGATGCGAAAAAAAAGGATCTCATGTGGATTTTTGTGTTTACACGTGTGCAACAAATTCCGATCTGTGTCAGATGTGTGTGAAATACCAGATTTTTTTGTGCCAACTAAACTCAGCCTTTAAGAGCTGCAATCATATTAGTGCTTTTTCTGTTTCACAACCTTGCTAGAAGATACCCATACTAATTTGCTGATTCGTAAAGTTTTTGTCTTGTGTTAAATAAAGCAGAATCTACCCTTTGAGTAAACAACTGATCCAATGCCTCTCAGAAGTGACTCTCTTCACCTCAAGTCATTGTTCGCTAATAATCTTCACTTCTGTTCTGCTACAAACTTTGTGCATCAATGTTCGCATCAATGTGCATCAATGCCTTGTTTTCATACATTTTTTTTTAGAAAATCTGGCGGTAGCTGGAGCCGCTAGTTTTTTTCATACATTTTTTTTTAGAAAATCTGGCGGTAGCTGGAGCCGCTACACAGTCGTCAACATCTGGGGACGGGTTTGCTGAAAAGGCCGTTGATCGAGGTCTCCAGCAGTTGTACACGGGATGCTCCTCAACCCTTAGTCAGACTAACCCGTGGTGGAGGCTGGATCTGCGTGATGTGTACCGAGTTAGTAATGTGGTCATCACCAACAGACGAGACTGCTGTGCAGAACAAATAAATGGAGCGGAGATTCGCATCGGGAACTCTTTGGAGAACAACGCCAACAACAATCCCATGTGAGACTCTTGAGGTTGAAAGAACATGAGAGCTTGAGCACAAATGTAGATTTGAATATATGACAGTGTCTTGATCTCCTTTATATGTTTGTCTCTCTGTCTGTAGATGTGCTGTTATTCCTGCTATTCCAGCAGGTGAGTCCTACAACTACTCATGTGGTGGGATGGAGGGACGTTATGTGAATCTGATCATTCCTGGAGACATGAAGACACTCACTCTCTGTGAGGTGAAGGTCTATGGAGAAGGTACACACTCATATTGCTTTATAATATCAAATAATAATAATGTCTTCACATCGTCATATTAGTCAACAAGACATAGTGAGGAACAGGGAAATGTTTTAATAAATGCCAATATGTTGGTTCCAATATTTAAAATATTTCATTGTTAATTGAATTCAAAGTTTTTATGTATTTACATGTGTGACTGTGTTTGTTTAGTTCTCTGTTTAAAAAGGTCATTTGTAAAAATGCAGTTTAACTCCATCAATGATTTGACTGACCCTTCAATGAGAGAAAATGTTCTGAAACAGGTGAGAGAAAGAAACCAATTCAACCTTTATGATTACTGTGAGAAGCATAGATTAGGCCAAAAGTCATATCATTTTTGCTGCATTTTATAGTAAACATAAAAAGGTTATTTCAACGTCGACTTATTTGACTATCGTTGGTGCAAGGGGATATGGTTATACTATGATGCCCAGTTTGAAGAAATGCTTGTGGGCTACTCTCAGTCAACAACTTATGTGTTTTGGTAAATACTGTTACAAAGACCATAAACTCGCATAAAAAGCCATGAGACAAAATTAGGAAAAATGAGGTTGCTGCTGGAAGAGATGTTAGTGAGGCCAGCAGGGGGCAGTATTCACCCTTTGGTAAGTGTGGTCCTAATATCCCAGTATAATGATGGGGACACTATGCAGTCAAAAAGCAATCATTGGGTCTAGACATCAACACGACTTTCATTTTCAACTGAAACATGACACCTGAAGGACGTTGGATTAGTTTGGAGTCCAGTGTCTTCCTGATGCTAGTAAATCACCTTCACCTGCTTTCAGATGGACAATAAGATGGAGATATGAGTGTTAAAGTTAATGAAACAATTAAGTGATTAATTGAGTGACGATTGAGCATTATTGAAGACACTTGATGATAACAAGCAGAATCTCTGAAGGAGAAAATCACAAATTGTAAACCACCTTTATGGAGATCAGTGTTGGCTTTAGTTGGGCTCTTGACACTCATACTTTCACTTTAAATTTTGTTTGTCTGCTGTTATTGATTCATAACAGTCAAATGAACAAAGAAAACTGTAGTTTGATAGAGTTAGATGTGTTTTGACAATCATGCTGTGATCTGAAAAATGATTTATTCAGGTGATTTGGTTTAACTTGTGAGCAACAGTTTTGTGGTTCTGCTGCATATCTGTATTTTTCTTATAACCTAAAATATATAATAAAAATTGTTCTGATCAAATCACTTTTAACTTTATTTAGAAACACAGAAATCAATAATCAGCCTGTGTATCCCAACCATGGTGACAATAATAATCCTTGTTGCCACCAATCATAATAAATTGTGATCTGAATTGTCTATGTAATTTACTTTTCCTCATTGAATATTCTGCTCGTCACCATTGTTGAGAAGCATTGACTGAATCTTGAGGTCTGTGTGTGCCTTAAAGAAAGATTTTTTTAAACAACTCTTAAGAAACCCATTATATTATATCTTACATTCTAGATATTTATGCAGAATCAGAAATCACAAACGTAAATATAACTACTACCATTATATTTTTTTTTTTCTTTGTTCATCTGGCAGGTATACGTCACATTCTGATCTAATCGTTTTTGTTATTTTCAGTTGGGATCTGCTCTTGCTGAAAGAGGATTCACAGATGTGACACTGCGATGGACTCAAACTCTAAGTCCTAAACGGGTGATCCAGAAGGTGAACAATGCTAAACGTGAGTCTGTTCTCTTTATAGGCACAATAACCTATAAAATAAGCTGCACAAATGGAAATGATTATACAATTATTAATGCGTTATAATGAGCAAAAAATAATTCATTTACAGGTACTTGTGAGAACAGAAAATTCCCTTGAAATCAACAGTCTTCGACTCTCTACATTAATATTGATCTGATTCTAAATACACAAAATATTTTTTTTCATAATGACATGTTTTGAGTGTAAAGACCCCATGTGTTAAAACCCCCCTGTAGTCAATAACTGTATCCCTTAAAACTCATCTTTGATCACCAAAATTATATATTTAAAAGTTTTTTCCTAAAAAAAATCTTCATGCTTACAAATGTTTAAATATCTTGCATGTAACTCGACACCCTTGCCTCATTTAGTATTTAGTATACATAGATATGCTCATTTCTATATCTATGAATATGCAAATGTGTCCCACCTCCACTCACTCACTCAGCTCAGAGATCCACTGGTTGACGATCACACGTTGATCTGATTGGTTGCAAGGTCACCGGTGATTTCAAACAGTGTTTTTGAGTCTTTGGTTCACTGCAGCTTTAAGGAGGAAATACTCAGCAATGCTGTACATGTACAGTAATAAATATAACATTTTATAAAAGTTACAGTTGTATCCTAGACGTTCTGTGCCTAAGTTTCCTCTGGTGTTTCTGTTAGTCTCCTAGGTTGAAAATGGTTTGATTAAGTGCCCTCTGGTGTTTCATATTTCTTTCATTGTTTTTCTCTGTTTTCTGAAGCCCTGTGTTTCTTTCAGTTCTTTGTCAGCTTTACTCAATGTTTTAAGTTGCTTGTTCTGTTTCTGAGTTCCTTCGTTAATAAAACAAAGACTGCTGCATTTATATTCTTTAATCCTCATTATCACAACCCAACTGTGACAAATCTTTATGTATTAGAAGAATCAGAATCAGAAAGAGCTTTATTGCCAAGTGTTCTTGCACACACAATAAATCTTTTTTGGTGCTGAGGCTAGTAATACAACTTATAACAATAAAAAATAAAATAAAATACAAAAAAATATGAGAACAAAAGTATCAGTTGGGTTTAGTCAGAATAAACATTTTCAGATTTACAGATTATGAGCGTATTTACAGTGTTTTAAATATTTTAGATTATAAATATCACCTGAGTTTAAGATATTGCCCTAAAAAGTGCATATATAGGACAGACTCAATTATGGCTGAGCAGAACTGAATCAGCAGCTCCTGTGGCAGGTTGAACTTCTTCAGCTGGCGAAGGAAGGACAGTCTCTGATGAGCCTTTTTCACAATGGAGTCAATGTGATTATCCACTTCAGGTCCTGAGAGATGGCAGTGCCCAGTGCTTCCACAGTGCTGTTCATGATGGTGAGTGTGGGAGTGCTGGGCTGTTCCTCCTGAAGTCCACTATCATCTCCACAGTTTTGAGTGTGTTCAGCTCAAGGTTGTTATAAGCTGTTCAACCTCCAGTCTGTAAGCAGACTCGTCACCGTTTTGAATGAGTCAAAGTTAAACTACCTTTATTGTCCCACAAGGGGAAATTGAATTTGTAGCAAAACACAAAACTTACAACAACACTCAACAACACAACCAACCAGCAAAGAAGGAAGGAATTCACATTAGCGCCCAATGTATATAATAAATAACAACACCATCAAATGCAAAAATGCAAATTGTGCAAGTTTATATATAGTGCCATTAAGGTGCCACAGCTGCCGGAACGAAAGATATGTGCAACCTCTTTGTTCTGCATCTAGGAACTCGATAACGCCGCTCAGAGGGAAAAAGTTCAAACTCTGTTCAAAGGGGATGATCCTGTGAACGAGCTAAAGCTCTAACTTTCCTCTGGACCTGTTTTATGTTTAACTCCCCCGCACTCAAAAAAAAAAAATAACTCTTTGAATGAACATAAAAAATCATGGAAAGGTTTTCGACGTAATTAACTTTCTTTATTTCAGCATTATGCAATTCTGTTATTCCAATTACGTTGAGTCAACTTAATGTACTAAAGTTGATTCAACTTTTATACTATGGTTGGGCTCAACTTGAATTTAAAAAGTCTTCCTGATACGTTTCAGGTATCCAATATAATAAAGTTTATTTTAATGTCACATTAATCCATTTCTAGTATAAGTACTATCTACCAATAGCATTTGTTAGCTTCTTAAATTATAAGATTTACATGTTTCATCAACCAAAGCATTTGCTGAAAGGATTGCTAAGTTTTCAGCCTAACCAAATGCTCCACTCTTCTCCACAATGGTAATTTAAAGTGTACTAATAATTGCAATATAATTGAACATTAAACACAGTTATGCACTATAAAGTCTTCTCCTTTTCTCATTTTCTCAAAATAATATTCTCTCTTAATTCAGCCATATGGAAAGCATGTTGGGAACTAACAAGCACAGCCCAGTTTCAGTTAATGCAATACAAATCATTCATGCAATCCAACACAAACAGATTAACTAAACTTAAATTTTACATATTTAAGTAGATTGAACACAATCAAATTAAGTTTGGACAAAATGTATGGATTTGTGTTGCTTAAGCTCGTTTTAATTAAACAATTTCAACAAGCAGCAAAAATATATATATATATTTTTTTGAGTGTGGTTGAGCCTGACTTTTCCTGGAAATATTATTCGCCACTTTGACCAGACTACCAAGTTTGTTTTTATTTGTCAGGGAGAGGCTTCCAAACCAAGCAGATATGCAGAAAGATAAGACCGATTCACTCTCTCTAGGATAGGGGAATGTATAAACTGAAAGCCATCATATGTTGCTTTTTTACATTTTCTCATTGGACGCATGCAAAATGCTAAATTAGTGATTATGTCTACTGAAGGAGTATATTTATTTAATTCTCCAAAAAATAACGAGAACATTTCATTTAATTGAAAGGAGAGGTTTTTTTTTCTCTCCAAAATAATTCAGTTACTAATCTGTACAGGTCTGTGAGACCATCTACAATACTCTCAGAAAGAGAAATCTAAATCAGAAATGCTCTAAACAACACCATCTCCTGTGTGCATATGAACTAAATATTCTAGGTCCAGAGGTTGCCGACTTAGGCCCTGTTTACACGAGAACGCCCGCGGGTGAAAACGTAAAAATATTTTATCGGATGTGCCTTTCGTTTCCACGGCGACGGCATTTTTGAGGCTTAAAAACGCAAAAAAGTGAAACCACCCTCCAGAGTGGAAATCTTAAAAACGCTCCACCGCCGCGTTCCCGTGTAAACGATAAAAACACTAAAGTCTGCTTGACAGTGAAGGTTGACAGTGCAGGCGCGCAGACTTGGTGTTGTTGTGCGGCAGTGCTCCACATCGCCACCTAGCCGCCTGGAGTGCATACTACATTGAATTTCACGCACTTTTGCGGCACCAAATGCACGCGCATTTCCCAACCAAAACGCTCGTATAAACGCAGAATAAAAAGCATTTTCTCCACTTTTGCATTTTCTCTTCAGAATCAGTTCCGTGTAAACATAGCCTGAGAATGTGCTGAAGTCGCTACCTCATTATGAGAACCAGCTGGAAGATCACTGGACAGACAGTTATTACAATTAGAAATGCAATATGTTAAACATTAATGAAAACTTGTAAATGGGTTGTACAAAATGTAATGTTCGAACGCTCTTGCTCACTGCTGAGCGTTTTGCTCCATCGCTTTTAAATTTTTTAGCACTCTATCAATTTTATATTTTTATATTTAATCTCCTTTTATCACCTAATTTTAACTTTAACAAATCAGCACAGTGCTCAAACGATTAGTACATGTAACCGGGGCAGGAATAGCCAACGCAGTCTCATCCCAAGACGTCATATAACTGACGTTTTGGGACGTCTTTTGACCATACGTCAATATCCGCCTTTTTAGGGCCCCCTTAAACGTCGGTAGATGAGGTTATGGGATCCTAACTCTACCCCAGACCTAAAACTAACCCGTCACCTAACTGACGTTAAAGGTAAAGCGTCAGTTGTATGACGGCCCGGGATCGCCATCTACCGACGTTTAAGGGGGCCCTAAAAACGGCGGATTCTCTGGTGAATCTGCCCTATGACTAGCAACTCATGCGCAGATGAGAAAGAGCGCGTCAGACTGGAGGAGAGCGCAGTTTGAGACGGACTGGGGAGTCACACAGGGGGAGAAATAGTCGATTAAACTGTTAAAGAGAGTAAATTTCCAGTTTGATATTGACTTGGGCATTTGTGGTGATAACAGTCGTGAGTGTATCATTGATTCGGCTGCTCATACCAGTGAGGTCTTCCGTGGGGAAGGGGAACTTCGGTGTTGGTGGAGATTGAGTTCATCTGTAAGCTAAAGTCAAAAGTTGGCAGCTACAGTCCATGAATAGGATGTAAATTTGGCATTTGCTTACATAGGCTGTAACAAAATAAATTAGTCAAAAATAACGTTATGCTGTAGAGATTAATCACATTTGAGCAGCTCGCCTCTATTTGTATATGTTCAAATCTCCCAGTTTGAATTGCAGAGAAGACCGCTTACTGAAAACAAAAGAACAGATCATTGAGATTATGAGTTATACACAAAAACTTTTTAATGTTGTACGGACACATAATTGTTTTTATAATATTATATTTTCTTTCTCTATTAAAAAACAGTTGTTGAATATTACCAGGGAGTAGGTTATTGTTTGCTTTATACATTATTTGTGCTGTTTGAACATAAACCAGATCAGTAAATTTCAACGTCTTGGATTTTAAAAATAGTACATTTGTGTGATCTCTATAACCAGCACCTTGAATCATCCTTATGGCTCTTTTTTGTAACATAAATAAAGATAATAGTCTGCATCTGTAAGTATTACCCCAAACCTCTACACAATACTTTAAATATGGTAATATCAGCGCACAGTAAAGAATGTGGAGTGATTTGTAGTTCAGAACATGTTTCGCTTTGTTAAATATTGAAATACTTCTTGAAAGTTTACATGTTTTATGTGAGATTTCCAACTTATTTTATCGTCTATTATCACCCCAAGAAACTTATTTTCATTAACCCTTTCTATGTCCACCCCATCTACCTGTATCCGAATTTAATAACATGAAGTTAGTTTTATTAATGTTTAATGATAATTTATTTTTATCAAACCTTCTTTTTAATTTATACATTGCTGAAGTAGTAATCTCCACTAAAAAATATTTGTGTCATCCGCAAATAGCACTAGTTTCACTGTCTTTGTAAATTTACATAGATAATTTATATATAACAAAAA